CTTCTCTCTCTCATTTCTCCCTTGCCCTTTCTCTAAAACAATCAGTAAAACCTAAACGTGGGTGCGGATTCAATATATATATAAAAACTATGCACACGGTATTTTGTATACAGGGGTGGGCAAATGTACATTTAAAGCTGTTGGTATGGAAGATAATACAGTAAATAAATAATAATACCAGAATAAGCTCTGTTTTGCGTACTCAGAACTGTAACCCTACGTTTGCCCACGCCTGCGTTACAGGTTTGTGGGGGCCTGTGTTACCACAGGTGGATGTTAGTTTCAAAAGAAACGGAACCCTCACATCCAGTTTGAACGGCAGCCCTTTCGTGCTCTAGACTCCAAAGCCACAGAGGGGAGCCCGCTTTTAGAATGAAAGCAAGTGTCCCCCTTCCCCCCACCCCCGAGTTAGTCCCAGCGCGGTCCCGGGGACATCAGGAGCGGTGTCTGCACTGAATGGCAATGGGAATGGCCGACGCTCAGCACTGAGTGTAACCTATAGGCCAGTCTGCTCTTCACACACAGCTCTTCCATGGCCCGGGGCGGTGGGGACCTCGGCCTAAGGCCTGTTTTCTCTGCCGGGCCCCACACTGTCTACAACTTCCTGTGCAGGAGCCACAGGCGACTTGATATTTATGGCCGGATAACAGGGATCAGGTGTCCCCTTTGAATAGCAGGATAGGAAGAGAGAAGATACTCAAGACAGGTCTCTTTTTCTCTCTCTCTGACCCACCACTTCTCGCGATGCTCTCCCTCTCTTAAATGTGAGAGTCTGGTGCAAACCCAAATACTTCACCCTTGATGGTGGGCTTTCCCTCTAGGTCATGAAGAGGCATGGATGTAGCCTTAGGCTGGTAAAATAGATCACTCCTTGAGTTATAAAGTATCCTATTGGTGGGGAAGACCCCCTCAATGATTGAAAAAGCCACTTCTCGCCGAGTAGGGGCACTGATTCTGAGCAGCTCTCATTCACAGTGGGTTCGATCTTTGGCTCATTAGAGTCTAATTCCACTTTATGGGGAAAACCCCACCGCTGGAGCTGAAGCGTCAGGACAGAATGGAAGTCACATGACAAGCCCACGCTGGAGGGCACTCAGCATCGTGGGCCAACGCAACCCCGAGGCCTGAGTCTGCGGGGAGCCTGCTGATGGCCCGCGCAGCCGAGGGCTGGCTCCATCCTGCCGATGAAGCAGCTTCGGCTGTTGATGTCTGAAAGATTTCCTTCCCCTCTAGAACTCGATACATCCCAAGGAGAAGTTTAGACTGAAACGATTCTCCTCCTGAGTGTGGGTCTGGCAGGCCCAGGGCGGAGGCGCCGTGGAGCCCAGGCGGGAGCCGCACTGCAATCTGGCGTTGCCGGCAGCCATGGATGGGCTTCGTCTGCACAAAGGTGGGCTGTGGAAGGTCACTTAGTCGTTCAACAGGCCAGGGTTTCAACTGATTCTCAGAGACAGGTCACAGCTGTGCTGGGAGCACCATCTCCTGCCTCACTGCTCATCTGTGGAGCTGGCTGAGCATGCTCCCTGCTTCTGGGGGACCCCGACAGGTGATGCTGCCAGAAGACTTGGCCAGCATTTAATGCGCCCCTCTTTCCGTCTTCCCAGCTCGCTCGCGCTCTCTCTCTCTCTCTCTCTCTCTCTCCCCTGATGCAATAGTGGAAAGGACATGACTTATGGGTTCCCATCCCAGCTCTTCCACTTATCAGTGGGGTAACTCTTGGGAAGTTACTTAACTACAAAAGGTCTCAGTCTCTCCACCTGTAAAATGGGAGTTAAGGATAGCTCTCCCACAGAAATTCTCTGAAAGTGGATGAGAGCATGTAAATCTCTTAGTCTTTGAAGAGATTTATTTCTTCTCCCTCTTCACCACCTCTTTCTGGAGCCAAACCACTCCCTCCCCAAGCCTATTCCCAGCACCATGCTCTTGCTATTCCCTTTGGGATACCCCTGTCGCATCCAGCCTCAAGGAAGCCCCCCCCTTCCCCCCCCCGCACACTTTTGCTCATCTGACATGTCTTGATCGATGCGATCCACTTCCTGTGATATGTTTCTATCATTATTTATGATCTGTCAGCTCTTCCCTACTGGTCTAACGTCTATAGCATCCAGCTCACACTATGCCTGCGTGCTTGGCAAGTGATTTGTTCAAGGAACAAACGTGTGAACACGGGACCACCAGGGTAGCTTCTAAGGTGTCTGCTTTAATCAAGACAGCGCTGTAGCCACTGCTCTACAGGGGAAACGCCGGTCAGAGAGGAAGACAGCCAGAGTCAGACGTGAGATGCGCTCGGTGGGGTGAGAGAAAGCAGGGGACCACGGCGGTTACGTGGGAGAAGCAGCAGGGTGGGGGGCGGGGGAGGGGGGGAGGAGAGCGGCAGAAGCCTGGCCCACACACAGTGCCAACCTGCAGCGACGGAGACCGTCCTGTGCGTCGGATCAGACTTTTGGGATAAAAGAAATCGGAGGGAGAATGCCGAGGGTTTGGCGGCTGCCGTGAAACAGGAAACAAAGGAAGAGTGAACAGAGACATAAACTCAAATCAGAAAAACACTATAAAAACACCCTGGGGAACATAGATCTGACAGTAAATGCCAAAGGTCATCGCTATTAGTGGACGTGTGTGATTGAGTCTGTTTGGGGCCCGAGTTTGAAGCATAGTAACTAATCTACAAGATGCAATGGAGTTGCCCATGTTCCACCCCCATTTATTTTGGTCTGATCATCCTATATGAAGTGGAAGAAGCCAGGGAAGCTATTGTGAGATGTCCCTTTAAGAATCTGTTGTCACAAACACCCCTGTGAGTCTTCCAACATCAAGAATGTGGCTCACTCAGCGGTGCTGCTGAAAGACTCCTCAAACATTTGCCTTTTGCTATGGTAACCGCGCTCCTGGGACACCCGGGGAAAGGCCTGGAAATCTGGGCTCGAGGTTTGTGACCTCAGACACACCCTTCAGAGAGCACAGTGTATTCCCTCACTCAAACGCCAGCTCCCCCGTGAATCTTGCCACGTCGGCACGTATCCCACTCGGGGCCCCTCGGAACTGCTTCCCCTCGGAGGCACGTCATTCCCCTCACTGCTGACGTCCCAAAGGTGACCGAGCTGAGGGGACCTGGCCTCACAAGTGGTAAATGTTGGCTTTAGGGGAGGAGCTTTGGGATTCTCTGGTAAGCTTCAAAAAATGAAGGAGAAACAAGAGTCTCTCCCCCTCTTCCCCTGGCTAGAATGGGTGGAAGGAGTCACTAGCTGTTTTCCTAAGCTTATCCAGAGCGTCCCATCAGGACGCAATTAAAAGGGCTGATTTTTAAAAATATCATTTTAGTAACCCCAGCTGCAAACTCAATGGTTCCTTCCTTCCAGAGAAAAGACGCCACTGCATGCAGTCTGGCCTCATTAGCACTCTTGTCTGTCTCCCACAGACGGCACGGGGGTGAAATAAAAAGATTAGTCAAAAGGCAGTGCTAACCACTGGCCACTTGGGTGGTTTCTGGGCAGGATCCCCAAGCTATGCTGTGAATTTTACATTTTTATGATAAAAGTGACAATAAGCATCTTTAACATCCTAGTAGTTTATAAAGATATCCCGTTGCCAAAGCATCCATGGTTCCTCAAAGATCCCGGGATCTGGAGCCCAAACCCAGGCCCACCAGTGAGGGCTACACATGTGCTCAAGTTGACACTAGAGGTCAAACCAGAAACCCACACCGTCCTGATATGGGGGCAAATTATTTTTCAGTTTGTCTTATCTTTACTCAATTAATCAGAGAAAAAGTGGCTTTTCCCCCTCCACTTAACGTGTGCTCCTTCTGGGGTTACACACGCAGCTTCTTATGCCCCTTAACGGTAGACTGGAGAAATGAGACCACACTCTAGTCTGGCCTTCAGAATAAATCCAGTCCATCCTCTTCCCCGAGACACCACGTGGATCACAGTCAAACGCCATCTTTTCCACGGGCACCCCTCAGTGAGCTAAATGGGGGGACTGGGGTCTGGATCCCATCGGATTACTGCTCAGGTGAAAGATTGGGGGTGCCTGAACAGGATACAGATCCCGACAATGACCTTACAGCTGTGTAGATCCTTTGCTTCAGAAACAAATAAAATTGCGTCCCCTGGTGGCACTCTGAGATGGACTAAGACCGGCAGGCTTTAGAAGAGAGAGATCAAGAGAGTCCATCCTTTTGCCCATGTGCTGGATGATCTAGGACAGTGGTTGGCAAACCGTAGCTAGCGAGCCGCATGCGGTTCTTTGGCCCCTTTGAGTGTGGCTCTTCCACAAAATATCATAGCCTGGGCGAGTCTATTTTGAAGAAGTGGCATTAGAAGAAGTTTAAGTTTTAAAAATTTGGCTCTCAAAAGAAATTTCAATCATTGTACTGTTGCTATTTGGCTCTGTTGACTAATGAGTTTGCCGACCACTGGTCTAAAACAGTTACCAGACACTTTGAAGCTAAGTAAGAGCTAAGTTCTAAGGCCACCCAGCACACGTGTCTGCATGAACATGCCTGGATTCGCCATAACTTCCCCAAACCATCGGAGTTTAGAGATGGAGGTTCCCAGATGAGCCTGGATGTGAGAGGGTAGTTAGATGTACCCCGAGCTGAGCACTGGATGCAGAGTCTGGGTGGGAGTGCTGCAATATGGACTAAGTCTGAAAACATCAGGCGAGAAGGTCGCCAGATGTTGGATCTAGGACGTCATGAGTCGTTTTTCTTCACATCTGCTTGGTTTGATGCTTCCTTTGAAGCTTTGCTAAGAACCTGACTAGTGAGGCAAGGCTTCTTGGTCCAACACAAGCATTTGGAACAAGACGCACGGAATCGATTTAAGGTGGGAGGAGACCTCCTGCCCTGGCCAAAGGCCTTTCAGCCTGGTCTGCTATAGAGAACAGAACTCACGGCCAAGTGACTTCACCCACATTCCAGCCCCAAGAATCAGCCACGAGGGAACACATAGCTTGCCAATGCACCTGCCATCACCCATCTCGAATGATTTCCTTACCCGCAGCTTTTCCTCCGTCTTGGTAGACTGCTTACAGTCGGGATGCCAAACGGTAGAACCTGGAAAGACATAAGGCACCGCTAAGAGCAGGGGAAATAGAACAGAGCCCGATTCTGTTAGAACTTGTACTAAGGGTTCATCCCTCCTCTCCCCACACAGGAGAGGGAACCATGGGAACCAGAACCAATCCAAACTCAGCTAATTGCCCTCACCTTGTTGGCATTTGCCTGATAAACGTCAAGATTGGCATCCTTTAAAAAACGTTTCATTGATTTTAGAGAGAGAGGCAGGGTGAGGGATAGAGAGATAGAAACATCAGTGAGAGAGAAATACCAATCAGCTGCCTCCTGCACCCCCCACACTGGGGCTCGAGCCCACAACCTGGGCATGTGCTCTGACCTGGAATTGAACAAATATTGGGCTCTGGTTCATAGGTCAGCGTTCAACCACTGAGCCATACCGGCTGGCGAGGTCATAATTCTTGACTGCAGAGATGATGAGCTGTGCATTAGTGTTTTCATGCAAGGGATATGTATTTCTTGACTGAGTGTTTTCCCCCTGACATATTATTATCCTTTAAAAGTACTGTCTGTGTGCTTACTGCAGGCTGCATTTATTTTCAGAAATAGAAGCCATCGACATGTTTATATAACATCAGGACAACCAGCAGTTTAGATGAGGGGAATGAAGTGCAACCAGGTTGCCTACATTCATTAGCAAAACCCACTGAATTTGTTGTTGATCCAGTTACATGCAGTCATCTACCCAGATACTGGGATATCGGACCAACGAGTAGAAAGGCGGACAGTTACGTTACAAATCCAAAGGTTTCCTTCATCTTTCAAACTTTTAACGAACTGAAAAAATATACTGACTGTTTAACTAGAGAAGCTCTTACGTACAGGTGATTTTCTGATTTTGGGTCAATGTCTCCCTTTCTCGGGCACAGATATTGTGAAGGATGGCCCCAGAACTAAGCAAAACATGTATATTTCATAGGAAGCTGTTATCTTGTAAAAATCCAAGTCTGCATGTATGATTTAGTATGCCCAGATATACATGTCCTTTATAAATTATGGCCAAGACCTACACATAAGGACATGTTTAAATGTGAGGATGGGCGGGAGAACCAGAATGAGCACTTAAAAAGATTCAAGCAAATAGAGTTGCTAAGTTGAAGGCAGTGAGTAACTGATACATATCCATATGTAATAAGAGTCTCTATGAATATGAGGCTATCTACATTTTGTTATGGACATCTTTATCTCTTTAAACAGCAATCTGTTTGTACTTGAAAAGATACCAAATTAGCCTACTTCTTGAATTATTCTATGCCACTGAGCTAAAATAGTGGTCAATGAATGACAAGGGAAATGTATTGCACATCAGAATAATACTTTAATCAATATTTAGCAATCATTTCTATCTTGCTTAACCCAGGGCCAGGAAAAAAAAATGAAGGAGAAGGAGGAGGAGGAGATGAAGAAGAGGAGGAGGAAGAAGAGGAAGAGAAAAAGAGGAGGAGGAAGAAGAGAAGGAGGAGGAGAAGGAGGAGGAGGAGAATAGTAGTAGCAGATGAGGACCAAACAAACAACAACCAGAAGAGGAAAAGAAGGAGAAGGAGGAGGAGGAGGAGGAGGAGGAGGAGGAGGAGGAGGAGGAGGAGGATAGTAACAGATGAAGACCAACCAAACAACAACCAGAGGAGGAAGAGGAGTAGAAGGAGGAGGAAGAGGAGGAGGAGGAGAATAGTAGTAGATAAGACCGAACAAACAATAACCAGAGGAGGAGGAGGAGGAGGAGGAGCAGGAGAAGGAGGAGGAGGAGGAAGAGCAGGAGAAGGAGGAGGAAGAGGAGGAGGAGGAGGAGGAGGAGCAAGAGAAGGAGGAGGAGGAGGAGGAGCAAGAGAAGGAGGAGGAGGAGGAGGAGGAGGAGGAGGAGGAGGAGGAGGAGGAGGAAGAGAAGGAGGAGGAAGAGGAGGAGAAGGAGGAGGAGGAGGAGCAGGAGAAGGAGGAGGAAGAGGAGGAGGAGGAGGAGGAGGGGGAGGAAATCAAACAAACAACAACCACAGTCCCTTCAAGAAGAAGGAGGAGGAGGAGGAGGAGGAGGAGGAGGAGAAGGGGGAGAAGAAGAAGAAATAGTAGTAGTAGAAGAAGAAAAAGAAGATCAAACAAACAACAACCACAGTCCCTTCAGCACCAACATTTACTCCAAGGCGGCCTACAAAGCACAGGAAACGCTCTTAATGTGGACAGCCAAAGGCCGCGGGTCAGGGCCGGGTCCAGGAGCACACTCCTGTGAAGGTCTGTTGATCAGGAGTCCTTGGCCAGAACCCCGGGCTTGCACAGTGCCCCATTGTCCCCCAGAGGCCAGGCATACAGGAATGGGATACAGAGAGAACATCAGATGCCCGGGAAGATGAACCCGCCCGTTCTTCAAGGATGTGCCGAGAGGCAAGCAAAAAGCACCGCACTCGCGAAGAGAGGACAACAATCCCTGGAATCTGAGCGCAGCCCAGCGGGCAGATAGCTGCCTGCCTGTGGCGTGGGTGTGCTGTACTTGCGCACATCTATTCAGCTCTGTCTACGCAGCTTCCAGGTCCACAGCTGTGCCCAGAGCTCGAGTCTCTGTTCCCAGCAGACACGGGGGTTTCTCTCACTCGAGCCTTTGTGGTTTTTGTTTTGTTTTTCATTTTTTTATTAAGGTATTATATGTGCATATATCTTACCAATTCCCCCTCCCCCATTCCCATACATGCCCTCCCTCCCCAGAGTTTTTCATCCTTTGGTTATGCTTATATGCACGCATACAAGTCCTTCGGTTGATCTCTTATCTCCTCCACCTCTCCCTCCCCTCCCCACTGTAATTTGACAGTCTGTTTGTTGCTTTATTGTCTCTGTATCTATCTTTTTGTTCATCAGTTTATAATATTCCTTATTATCCATGAATGAGTGAGGTCATGTGGTGTCTCTCTTTCATTGACTGGCTTATTTCACTCAGCATGATGTTCTCCAATTCCATCCAGGTTGCTGCAAATTGTAAGAATTCCTTCTTTTTTATGGCAGCATAGTATTCCATTGTGTAGATGCACCATAGTTTTCTGATCCAGTCATCTGCTGACAGGCACCTAGGCTGTTTCCAAATCTTAGCTATTGAAAATTGTGCTGCTATGAACATAGGGGTGCATATATCCTTTCTTATTGGTGTTTCCAGTTTCTTAGGATATATTCCTAGGAGTGGGATTACTGGGTCAAATGGGAGTTCCATTTGTCACTTGTCTTTATTGGGCCCTTTAATATTCAGTGATTAAAAAAAAATTTTTTTTTTAGGCAGAATTTTTCAGAGTAATCATCCTACAGCTAAGAGGATGTTTGGGTTGTTAATATCTCATATAGGCCCATTTTTAAAGAGAGAGAAGCCTAAGCTTTGCTTTAATATTCCAGAGTAATTTCTGCAGGCTTTTCTGGTTGGCATTAAAAAACAAAACTGAGCGCAAAGGAAACCACTCATTAAAATTCACAGTATGATCTCACTCACATGTGGAATCTAATGAACAAAATAAACTGATGAACAAATAAGTCCGGAGACATAGAAGCATGGAACAGACTGGCCAGTGCAGGGAGGGGTTAACCCAAGAACTTACATGCATCACCTGTGGACACAGACAACGGTGCAGTGAAGGCCTGGGGTGGGGCAGGAGCCCATAGAGGGGGGAGAGAGGGAGGGAAATGGGGAACATCTATAACACCCTCACCAATAAAAATAAAACTTAAAAAATGCGGAGTTTGGTGCAAAGAGACATGGGAAAATGACACTGGGAAGCAGATGAGACCCAGTAATTACCAACAGGGAATGGAATGAGCACTAGCTCGTATGGTTCTTGCTAATTTTTCTGATAAGCCCTTGTCTAGCTAATGACTCTTTTACAGTTAAGAATAGTCAATTGCTCGCACAGACAGGACTGTACGCCTGGCAGAAAAACCTTCCCTGCAGCCCCTCCACGAAGCTTCAGCATTTTAGATAAAAATTTTAGACAGTCATATTCTGGAATCATCTCTCAAAGTCATTCTTAATTAAAAAAAAATCTAATGGCTCCCTGCTAATCCCACCATTTCTCTTTCAGAGGCGTTGCGTTGGGTGTGTTCTCTTCAATCTCCTTTAATATAAGAGCTATGTCATCTTAATTGGATGAAATGTATCTGTGATGCAATTCATCAAATATGAGCTTCCCTTCTCCCTGAAAGCTGGGATCACAGCAGCCTGGGAGGCTGCGAAAATCCTCTGGCAGGGCAGCGAGAAGGGGAAGGACAAGGTGGCCACCCCATGAGCAACATTTCTAGAACTCTCTCGGGTCTTTGTTCCTGGAGAGGGCTGGGAGGAGGTGAAGCGATCTCCACTCTTGCCCAACATCCATGGCACCCAGGCCAGCTCCTTCACTGCGGCAGCAACACATTTGTTTGCTAACAGCCCCAGGGGCTGGCTGCCAGCATGTCAACTGCTTAGCTGGTGAATGCTAAGCAATGAGGTAACTTCTGGCCATGTTCCTTTTGGATCGGGGTAACCTTGCAGCGAATGAAATGTCTCCTTCTCTGCAAACAACCAACCAAACACACAGCGCTGTTTTCCTTCCCAGGGTGGGGAGCACTTTCGGGGTTCCCGAGTCCGCCTCACCTTGAAGATACATTTCCTCTCCTTCTGTGAACATCTGGTTGCATCTGCTGCATCGTGCACAGCTGGGGTGGTAATGCTTGTCACCTGCCTGTAAGAGAAGAGGGAGAGGACATTCAATCTATTGGTCACTGCCCCCTCTCCCCACAACCTCTTTTCTGGATGTGGGGGTCCGCGGGGAAAGAGAGGATGTGGAGGCAGGAAAAATAACCGTCCAATGAATCAAACCTCCTACACCAGTGGTCAGCAAACTGCGGCTCTCGAGCCGCATGCGGCTCTTTGGCCCCTTGAGTGTGGCTCTTCCACAAAATACCATGGCCTGAGCGAGTCTATTTTGACGAAGTGGCGTTAGAAGAAGTTTAAGTTTAAAAAATTTGGCTCTCAAAAAAAATTTCAATCACTGTGCTGTTGATGTTTGGCTCTGTTGACTAATGAGTTTGCCAACCACTGTCCTACACCCACAGCCCTAAAAGCTGAAGCCGACGCCATTGGAAACTGGGAGGGGCTCAGAGGCCAGCTTCCTGGGCTTGTCATGATGGGGCCGCCTTGCCTCTTGGGGTTTCTGGCTCCTAGTTCCCTTTTGGCTTGGGCTCTTCTGGATGATGGCCAGTTACATACCACGTGCCCAAGCTGAAGCCCCCCCCCCAATCTCCCCCCAAAATACCCACTTCAACAACATTAAAGCAATAAAAAGAAAGGATCCTACGATCAAGTTCCTGCTTTCTTAGCTAACCAGTCTGGAAGTACTAAAACCTGCCCAGCTGACATCTGGATGAGAACAACCACAGCAAAAGACATCGCTTATATCTCAGAAGGAGCCCACATTCTCGTCGAGACTGCTTACAATCATCTTTCGCCAAAATCTAAAACTGCTTTCCGAAGAAGGCACTCTACTGTGGTGGCTCTGCATTACCCACAGGCATTCTACCGGCTTCTATGTGACAGATGCCATCACAGCAGGTGCTGACTTCCTCGGAGCAAAATGTCCCTGGACAAGGCGACAGCTCCCTAGACTGGGGCCAAGTCACATTGGAGTCCCGCTCCAAATGCACGCCTGAAGACACGAAATCTTAGCAAACACCGTACCATCTGAAAACCATCCAGTGCCCTCTGCATTAAATCACAGTGTCAGCCACTTATATACGCCTTTCTTCTCCAGGAACCACGGGGAAGGCAGTGCTGGGAGCCCAGGGTTACAGGCAGCCGCCTCCTGTACCCTGCCTGGAATCTCACCAGGAAATCAGAGACCGGAGTGACTCCTTTCTCACACCCTCCCAGAGGAACTTCAAAAGCCAGTTGGCACCCAGAGTGTGAGATGGTGCTCAGCTACTCAAGATAATCAAGTGGGATGGGGGGACAGAGGATGGGGAGGGGGGGGTGGACGTTACTTAAAACCAGAAGCCAGGAATAAAATCTTTTCAGTGGTATTTGCCAGAAAATTCCAGAAGTGGTGCTATTGTTCTTGTCCACACAGTGTGTTTAATTAAAATTCCCCCCCCCCCCGCCCCTGGGGGTGGGGGAGGGGAGAATAGAAAATGTCAGCACAAAGTAGTTCCTTTCCTTAGGCCATTCGGGTCCAATGTGAAGGAAGGAAGGAAGGAAGAGAAACGATATCATCGTATTCAGTTCTAAACTATGTTGGCTCAGCTGGGATGTCAATGCTGGGAGGTCCCGGTCAGTTAGGACAATCTCAGGATTCCCAAGGAAAATGTAAGGAAAATAGTTAAGGCTCCTTGAGAGGAATCTGGTGTGGTCTACCGTGTTGAGCATGATTCTCAGTATGCTAGGTATGAAAATAAATTTCTTCAAGATGATAAAGTGTTTCCATCGTATTTGGTGGCACAACATCAGAAGCATTCTTATTAAAGACAGGAACAAGACAAGGATGCATACTTTAGCCAATGTTTTCCTACATTGTTTTAGTCCCAGCTGATGTGATAAGTCAAGAAAAAGAAATAAATGTAAAGGTCACTGATAAAAGAGTTCAGCCAAACTAGCTAAAAAAAAAAAAAAATTAACATGTACAAACCAATAGTCATCCTATTCACTAGCAATACAAATGTAAGTCAGTGTAATAGAAAAATAGGACCTCATTAGTAATAGCAACAAATAAAACCTTCCATGTAAGATTTACATAAAGAAAACCACAGCACTCAATGGATGAACAAAAAAAAGACTTAAATAGAGACACAGTATTTCTGGATGGGAAAACTGAATATTGTGAAGATGTCAATTTATTTAAAAGAACCTATTAATACAATGCCTTCTAAGTCGAAGTCCTCATTGGAATTTCCTTTACCAAATTTACTAACTCTTAAGTTCACATGGAAGAAAAAAAATGCTCATAAATACCCAGACATGTTTTGAAAAAGAGCAGAAATATAGGGGGACTTTTACCTTCCCAATATAAAAAGTTATTCTAAGGTTGAAATAATTAAAGTGCTTTAATTCTGGTGCAGGAAAAGAAAATAAATCAGTGGAACAGAAGAAAGGAAGGCGGATGCATAGTCATACATATAACAAGAGAATTATGATAAAGGCGGGGTTTCAAACGAGTTGAAAAAATGTATTATTCAATTAATGGCAAGGACAATGGATTTTTCACTTAGAGAGATGATAATCTGTAGTCTGAAATGCATGACAAATATTTTTCGATAATGATAATCTGTAGACTAATGATAATCTGTAGCTTACCATTATCAAAAAATGATAATCTGTAGTCTATAGAAATAATAATGGCAAATATTTTCCATGACAGGTTACTGCAGCTTAGGCCTGCTCCCCGCAGTCGGACATCCTTAGCACTGCCATGGAAGGGGGAGAGGCTCCTGCCACTGCTACTGTACTCGCCAGCCATCAGCCCAGCTTGTAGTTGAACAGTGTCCCCCCCTGTGGGAGCACACTGACCACCAGGGGCAGCTCCTGTGTTGAGGGTCTACCCCCTGGTGATCAGTGCGTGTCACAGTGACTGGTCATCCCACCGTTCGGTTAATTTGCATATTAGCCTTTTATTATATACGATTTCAGAGAGAATGCACATGTATATCAGTATCATACTTGTGTCTTGCATGGAGGGGCAGTAAGGAGAATGCATACCCACCCATTTGTTGTGAATATCTCGGCAGAGACAGGATGGAGTGAGGGTCAGAGCCCAGCAAGTTCCTTTGTATGCTTTTGTACTGTTTCCGTCACTTACGACAAGGATGTATTTTTGTATTACTCTGTAATAAGTAAATAAAGACCAAGAGGAAGAAAAGTAGGGACTTTTCTTGGAGTCTTGGAGTCATCACCCCTACGGTTGAGTTTTCACCCCAATCTGTACAAGAATTAGGACCCTAATAAATCACAGTCTCAGATGACTGTGTTGATGATAACAATAAAAGAGAATATTATTAGTGATTATTCTGTCTTCACAAATATTTAGTCACTTGTTTCATACTAACCTAGTAAGGTTGGAGCTAGTACTATTCTCTGTTTTACAGATGAGGAAACTGAGGCTTCGAGGGGTTTAGTAACTTGTCCATGGTCACATAACTAGGAAGTGGGGGAGCCAGGACGCAAACCCAGGCATCTGGCTTTGGGGTCCACGTGCTCATATGGAACCATAACAAACAACCACTCAGTACTCAGCTGCCACAACTAACTGCACCACAGTGATGTTGTTAGGGCGGTGATCAAACAACATTTTGAAAATGGTGCGACTCACTGCAAATAAAAATAAAGACAATAATATTAATAGGAAATAACTGGTTTGGATCAGTGGATAGAGTGTCAGGCTGCGGACTCAAGGGTCCCAGGTTCGATTCCGGTCAAGGGCATGTACCTTGGTTGCGGGCACATCCCCAGTAGGGGGTATGCAGGAGGCAGCTGATCAATGTTTCTCATCGATGTTTCTAACTCTCTCTCCCTCTCCCTTCCTCTCTATAAAAAAACCAATGAAATATATTTAAAAAAAACAATATTAGTAGGAATAACTACCTAATAACCCTCTGCATAGAGATGGCGCCAGGGCCATTCACATAAAGAAGGCTTGTTGCGTGGGTTGGGATGCCGACGAATGTCTCCCTGGATGTCGCCCTTTCCAGGCACCGAGAGTCACTGTGTTCCATGAACTGTCACACAAGATGGATGGAAGACACGCCGAGGCCCCGCGTGGCAGGGCTCTGCTCTGTAAATCAGTAGTAAACACGCACCACCCCCGTCATGCCAGGACATTAGCCTTGGCCCAAGCTCTTGCCTCGTCCCATGATGCGGAATACCTCAGGAGATTCAGGGAGCCACACTCAAAGGGCAGCTTCACCGCCGGCCCAGGGCCTCTGTTTTTGCAGCAGGCCTGGGGGCCACGGGGGCAGGTCCTCAAAAATGAAGGAGCCCCTTCTTTGCATGTGTGGGCTACCCCCCCTGTTTCACTTCTCCTTGGGCAGGCACCCATGACAGTTCACAAGCCCTGTCACAGGCCAGGAAGAACAGCAGAGCTGAACACAGACATTGGTCAGGCATGGGCACACTAACCAAAAAATAAATGAAGCTGGAGGAAATTATTTAAATTGGAGTCATTTAAAAAAATAACATTTTTATTGATTTCAGAGAGGAAGGGAGAAGGAGAGAGATAGAAGCATGAATGATGAGAGAGAATCATCGATCGGCTGCCTCTTGCACTCATACATGCACCCCAACTGAGGATCGAGTGTGCCCTGACCAGGAATCCAACCATGACTGCTTGGTTTATAGGATGACACTCAACCACTGAGCCACACTGGCCAGGCTAAAGTGGAGTCATTTTTAGAGGAAGGAAAAGCATTTCAGATCAAGAGCAAAATGGTGCCCATAAAAGAACAGATGATGAGCTCACGGCCCATGGTGGAGAGAAGGCCATGGGTCACCAACTTGCAAAGCACAGCATGAGCTTTGTTGGGACAGGCAACCTCATAAGCGGTGATTACGGGGTGCGTGGCCCCAGGTGCTCACGCTGCAATCCAGCTGTGCTTGAGCTCCAGAGGCCAGATGTGCCACTACGGCTCCCCAGAGCTCTGCCCCACCATCCTCCATCCATCTGTGCCCTGCCTGAAAAAAATGACAACTCTGTTTTCT